CAAGAAGCTTCCCCGTCCCACTTGCGCAGACGCAGGTGACACGAGTGTGTTCTGTCCTCTGCAGAGCCCAGGAGCAAGGCTCTGGAACTGGGACACCAGGGACGCCGTGGTCCCCTCCTGCTCCCGCACCACCAAGAGCTCCGCTATGTGACTGTGCTGCCAAGTAGTTTGACCTTGGTTAAGTGGGTCCCAAAATCTTATTGTCGCTCTGGAGCCGCTGCCTTTCACGTGTCCTTTAGCTGCAGCGTGTCATTGCCTGAGTCACCCCTTAGTTCTTCATTACATTGAATAATTGCATTACGTTGGCTTCTTGCCAGCATTTAGGGATTCCCTCTGGACTCAATGAATGTATCACATTGCCTACCTGTCCCTGGTTCTTCTGAATTATCAAACACAGGAGCAGAACCAGGCAAAACTTGTGCAGCACTAAAACAAAGCGTGCACCTCGCTGTGCTTTGGGCCAGCTCCAAAAATGCTGCATTGAGCGTTTGTCCTCCAATACCCACAAGGGCTGGTGGGGAAGCTGTTAACACTGTCTTCACCAAGGGCAAGTGTTTCAGTGAGTCTGAGTTGGCTGACAAGTGTTTAACTTTTTCCCAAAAGTTACAAAACTGCTTTGGGAAATAAGGCTAGCATTTGGCCCTGAGAGCCTGCACTTGGGCTGCTGGTTCAGATCCTGCCTCTGCTGGCGATGAACAAAAATCGTGGGCTCACGGCGGGGTCTGGGTGAGCAGGGATCCCTAAAGACATCTAGCCCACTTCCCTGCTCAAAGCAGGGTTAAGCCAAAGATAGATGAGAGTTGCTTGAGGCTCTGTCAAGACAAGGTCTGAATATGGAATATGTCCCACTCTGAGATACCACTGCCTCTCTGGGCCCTCCAGGGCCCTGAGGATTGCTTATTTCCTCACTCCAGAGCAAGTACCCTAAACCCCTTCCCATATGCACATGCATTTATGTGAACACACTACACAGCAAGCCCTGTGTGCCCTCTATGTGGTTGCTTTCCTAAACCACCTTCAGCAAATCCAGGTTTGCCTCCTCTGCCAGCTCCCATGGGGTAGTTTCCTCAAGTGGCTCCAGAGATGTTATCGCTGCTCCTCTGCATGCAGTCATCAGCAGACTGCCCAGACCTGTCACTAGAGCCCACAGCCCCTCTGCTTTAGGGACAACAGGAAATGGCAGAAGGACATACATTTTTCTTCAGAGCTGAGAGTTAAAGCTCATATTTGCCTTCCTGCAGTTCTCATCAATGCCAGCATCTCTGGAGCAAAGTGCAGAAGACCCATTCAGCTCATTAAAGCCACCACCAGGTTGCCTCCCGCTGTGGCAAAAGGAAGCATTTCCCTGTTTGTCCTCATCTTTCCTCCTATACCCAAATCTGCCGAACCCAAGAACCAAAACCGAGTGGCACTTCTGGTCTTCATGACTCCGGCCACCCGTGCCCGGTGAAAAAACACTGCCCTGGTGCCATCTACAGACAGCTGGCCCCAGAGTGTGGCCAAGGGGACTGGGAGAGGGGACAGGTCTCAAAGACCCCACTGGGCTTGTGAGACGATGGTCACCCTTCCAGCGCTTCCCTCCAGAGAGAAATAACTACAATCAGCTCCTTATAGGACCGCTTGTTAGGAAGACCAAATCCCCCAAGCACCAGCATGCGAAGTTAGGTGCAGCGTTTACAGCCTAGCCCGAATGGACAGCAGTTAGGATTTATTTGTTTTTTTGCCGTCCCATTCTGCTTCTGAAACCAGGAAGGGGATAAAAGTGCAGGAGAATCTGAATGCACTTTTGCTCCTCCAGTTGTTAAACAGCCACAGTTTTCCTGAATACACTCTCACAGTCTTCCTGGTTATCATTTTACTGCCTTGCTGGCTGAAGCTGCTGTCTGTCTATACTCCCAGCCCACAGACAGATAAAAATTGGTGATTTACTCTTAAAGGCTCACGCTTTATTTCCAGCTAATTCTAATGCATTATCATTCACTTCAAGTGAGCAGGAGACCTCAATTAGCTCTTAAAAGCTCCTTTTAACGTGGTCGGTATTTTAGAGATAAATGTAGCCTCACAAAACTCTCCAGCACATCATTGAGAAGCTAGATCTCCATGCAGTCTTAGAAGAACTTAGCCAGAAATGACTGTGGGCACTGAAGATAATAGAAAATAACTTAAATACCATCTTCATACTGCACATGCAACATTTAATAGCTACAGCTCTAGCTTTTTCTGGTAATGTGAAAAACGGCATTATTAATCCCGCTTTTCATGCCGAGTACGTGATGAACTTACCCCAGGCTAGTTGAAGATCCGTCAGCGCTGGCCGTTGCCAGAGTTGAGAATTAGGGCTGTGCAAGAGAGGAGAGAAAGGAGAGCGATGGGGGCTTGACGTTTCCCGGGATGGGACTGTCACATGCTAATCACTGCTTCGCAATGCAAGCATAACAAATACCTTCTAATTACGTAATCTTCAGGTCATATCCTTGCATCCCCATGCCAAAAAAAAAAAAATCAGGAGGAAGGATTGGAAGGAGATGATACCAACTTTTTTTCCCCCTTTTTAAGTAGATTTGCACGTTACTGCAAAGGAAGGTCTCACAAAGCAACGGGCAGAGGGGCTGGTGCGAGCTGGCTGCTGGTGTGGGCTGTGCTGCTCGCTGGGCTCAGAGGCTGTTTGGTACCTCCCGTGGCAGCCTGAGGGGGACGGGGATGTGGGGCTGGCTCCTCCCTGCTGTCTGTGGCACCCCCTGTCCCCTGGCACCGTCAGGGCCGGGACGACGCGTCCCTCGCGCCGGGGCTTGGAGCAGGATCGCTGGAGAAGCCAGCGAAGGGGACCAGCAACCTCTGGCACTTGTGGGTTTGCCATTTCCACCTAGATCATAAAAAAAATCCTCCAGAGGGGAAAAAAAAAAATCAGGAGGGTTGCGGGAGGTGAGCGAGTGAGAGGCAACAGCTCTGAATGCCCATTTCATTTCCTTGCTTAGGTTCCTGCAGGGCTTGTGCTCAAAAGAGCATCAAGAAGATGTGGAGAGAAAGTGTGTCACCCAAGGCCAGGAGCCAAGGCCATTGAGAAAAGGTAGGTGCTAGCTCAGTGAGTCACTCCAAAGTGGAAAAACAGGGAGACAGAGCAACAGGAAAAATAGCAAAAGGAAGAAGAGTTTCTCACTGAAAGAGCTACTTCAAAGATACCTGTCAGGCAGAAATCTTGAAATGTAAAATGATGTAGCCTAAATCAGTGTAATTACTGCGCAGCCCAGATAGATAAAAATGTGAGGCTGCAGAGCCCAGAGCTGGAAGGACAGGCTCCTGGATTAGCAGGGTTCTGCGGAAGGTGCCACTGCCTCTCAAGTCAAGGACTCACAACAGGACACCTTTTTTGGAACTTGCTACTTCAGGAGTAAAACAGAACTGAACAAACTCAAATGACTAGTATGAAGAAGATATTTGCCGGAAAATGCATTTTTGGTAGGTCAAAAATACCTACCATTTGACAAACAGTTTCAGATGAGAAAAAAAATATATAAAAATAAAAAATAAAGTAGTTTCTCCAGTTTAGGAAGAAATCACTTCAAATAGAGATTTTCCTACAGGCAGCTTTAAAGGTGCTGAGAGGAGTTATATAGCCAAGTGATTGATGAGCTTTGTTTCAGATGGTCCATATGTTACAGTGAGCTGATAGTGTGTTTTTGCATTTTGCTAAGAAACCCCCAGCCCCTCTAAACCTTCAGAATGGTTTCCGACAACAGAACAAAGGGATGTTTTTCCATGTCTGATAAACTTTTATCAAAGCAAAACATTAAGCATACTCATTCTCAGCTAGAAGGAAACACAGATGACAAGCCATCCTCTTGGATGGGCTTCTGGTCACAGAGGTTATCACTGGCATGTGGCATTTTGCTCCTCTAGCTTTCTTCTCCGCTGTTGTCTCTATGCCCAGGCTCTTACCACAGCTAAGGACAGCAGCAGGCCACGCCAGTGATGTTCATTGGCCATGGGTGGCATCGGGCAGCTAAGCCTATTTATTTTCCCCAGTCTCCTCTGGTGAATTTAAGAGCCTTTTAATGTCACCTTGCACATGCTGAGGATTGGCATGGAGAGCATTTTCTGATCTTTTTTTTTGTTCCTCCACATCTTAGCAATAACGAGGGGAACATCTGAAGGCAAATCTGAAAGAATAACATTTGCATATCATATCTGCCAATAGAGACAAGGCCAGTTATTTACTAAAACTCTGTTAAACATCTGGCAAGCAAAGACTCAAAATGTACTCTATTTTTTCTGTCAGCACTGTTCATTTTCTTTCTGTTTTTCTTACTAGAAAGGCAATTTTCTTACTTTGTAAAGTAGGATACATGGATAAAACAGACTTTCGGTGACCAAACCCAAACAAAAATAGAAATGGGTTTGTTGCTGTATTAGGCCTTCAGATAGGGGCAGTGAGCAGCTGTCCATGAGTGTTCATTTTCCCTCCCACAGAAAAGGTGTTTTGGTGCATGACAAAGCAAAATCTTGCAGTGGTTGTGGGCTTGCCCTGGTAGCAGGAATTGAAGGGCTGCAACTGCACCTGCTTTCTGTGCTCACTCCCACTGTGCCAAGCCAGCCATAGTGTAAACACGATCATTTGAGCATGGGGTTTGCAAAGGTTTCTGCGGGCACAGAGGTCTGTTTTTCCACGAAAGTTCCACGAGTTGAGCATAAGTTACGCTTTATTTGTTGATGATGTTTTGGGGTTTTTTCCAGCTTCATTTTGAGAAACCCAGGGAGAAAAAAAAAATCCTTGCACAAAAATAAAGTCATTAACTTCTGCACTTACAAATTCATCTCTCTTAAAGGTTTTCAGTTAGAAAATTTCATCTGTTCAAACTGAAAATAAAAATAACAGTGTATTCTAGTTACTAATGATATGCGTCTTCAGAAGTTATTTTTAATAAACAAATGAAGAAATGAGTGTCTACTGAAAACTGCTCACAGCTGTTTGAACCCAGAATGGAAACACAAGTTTAGCCTTAGATCTGTGGTACTATTAGTGCCAAACAGCTACATTTTCAGCTTCGGCTTCAGGCCCACTGCTGCTGTGTGGTGAAACACGCCGCTCCACTCCACTCCTTTTTCATCTATTAATTCTCCTTCACCTTCTAGCCTGTAACAGCAGAAATCCAGTTTGTTAATGAAGAGGACACTCTGTTTGCAGTAGCATGGTAATGTGTGCACCAGCTGGATAACAAAACTAGCAAGAATCAGAAAGTTCCCACTCTAGATCTGCCTTAATTTTCTTCCCACATGGTAGCCTATAAAAGTTTGACTAAGAGGCTAGGAAGACTTGTGAAGCACACGGGTTAAACAGCCATACTACATATTCCTTCCTTTGCAGAAATGTATTTACACCATCTTCCTAGCGTGTAGCCTGTACAGGAATAGCGTCATAGTCCTTGTCATGTTTTGAGGTCACTGAGGATGAAGTCCTGTGCAGTTTGTCCTGACCTTTGGGAGCATCCTAAAGGTGTATCCCTATATGCAGCCATATAGCATGATATAGCTGAAAAACAAAAAACCCACAAACAAAAACAACAAAAAACCTGCTCTTATTCTTAACCCCTTACTCTGTAAGTGGTGCTATGATGAAGTGAAGGGATTTGCAGTCTGCTGTGCGGAAAGAATGTAACTGCTGTGTGATTTCACTTCTCATAAGGCACATACCTCTTCTGATTTTTGAAAGCTGTTATCAAGCTCATAATTATACCTGAAAACTGCTACAAATAATAAATGTCTATGCACCAAAATTCCTTGCAAACGAGGAAAAAACCCCAACCTTTACAACCAATTATTGGAGATTTGTTTCCCTTACAAATAAATAATAAAACCACCTAGCAGTCACAGCTAGTTGCCACAGTGCTGCCTATATCATTCTCCCCAAAAAACTGTAGTGATCTGGTGAGTAGTATCTTGTGTGAGTAGGTGAAACTAGCAGACCAGAAACGTGGCTAAACAGCCTGCATTAGGCTGCCAGACTGCAGCATGTGTTAATAACCACAAGTGTCAAATAAGAAAAAGTTTCAATCCTCTAGGGAAAATGGCAGTGTAGGTAAAGATGAGGTCTCTGCTGCATTTTAATTTAGATCACAAGTTTGAGTTGGCATCAGCTGTTTTGTTCTATGGATCAGATACTGGTGACAAGCACTCTGCTGGTGACAAGCACTCTGCTGGCACTTCTGTATTGGACTCTACTTCTTCCCTTGAGAACAGAGGCTTTACCCTAACAGTCTTGAGAGAAAGTAAAGCCCTGTAAAGCCCTATATGGGAGCTCCTGCTGGATGCCTTCACCACAGTAATGGTTACTTGCAGTTCTAGTCCTTGTGCAGAAGTCAGATGGCATTTAATATGACAGCAAAGATGGAAGCTCTTGAGCAGATGTTAACATGCCACTGTAGTAGGGACATGATTTAAATTAGATCTGTTGGATTAGATTAGAACATTAGATCTGTTCTGAAGCATTGAAATGTATTTTTTTTCCTCAAATTGTAGCTTGAGATTATACAAGTTTCCATTTTATATCCAACTAGATTCTGTTAGTGTGTATTGAATTTGATGTCTTTTAAAAACAGAACTGGTCACACTTCTAGTACTGCTATAGGCTATTCAGAAGGGCAAGGAGGGATGTTATCTGATGAAATACTAGCCATTAGCAACACACTTACCTTTTAGATTTATTTCAGATGTGGAAATGGGGAGGTATTTAAAAAAATCAAACATAAATCAAACCTAGCAAATTTGTGAGAGAAGTGATTTAATAAGAATAAACACAAATGCCCTAATGTCCTGTGTAATTTTCTCATTAGATCTGCCATGTGGATTATAAAATATTAGCTTTTTGTTTTAGGGGAAGACAGTATCTTAGCAATTCAAAACACACACACACACATACACTTATTCAGCAGAAATTAACTCAGCTGCTGCTTTATATGAGCAGCCCTAAAGCTCTTTATTCTGAGTGATAAAAATAAACCTTCGCATTTTCTCATCTCTGGATTTTTCATCTCAGAAGTAAATAAAAAAGTCCCAAGCAACTATCAGCACAAATCAACACTGTTTCTTTATGAGTCTGTAGGCAGACAGCTTGAAACATTAACTGAAATAGGTCTGAAGTGCTCTGTTCATCTGAACTGTGTGCTAGCCCAAAGGCTTAGCAAAAAAATAAAGGTGGGATGACTGTGAAAAAAATCATGGACTGGATCTCATGAAAAACACACTACTGGGTTCCTTGCACCCAGACACCATGGCTAATTTCCTTGCATTAAAAGAAACCTACTCCCATGCTGGGTGAATTTTAATTGGACTTCACCGCTTACTATTTCAAACTACTTGGAAGAGACTTTGTGACTTATCAACTCTAAACCTACTTGTTTTCATTGAACGGCCCAATGTACTTGGCTCCATTTGGGAACGTGTAAGTTCCTACTCCGTGGAACATGTTGTCTTTGAAGTCGCCTTCATAAACTGCCCCGGAGGGATGCTCCAGCCTTCCTTTGCCATTCATCTGCGTGCAAGGAGAGATGGAGGATACAGAAATTGGTGTTTATGCGGGCTGCGTTGCTTCCTTGTGTTACTGGGTAGGAACCCACCTTGTCTCTTTCCCAGTTGCCCACGTAGGTGAGGCCGCTGGGGCTGGTGTGCACGCCGTGCCCGCTCCTCTGCAGCGCGCCCTCGGCGCTCCGGGCACACTGCCCTTCTGCGGGGAGCAAGGGAAAAAAAAAAGAAAGGAAAAAACGGGGGAAGGTAGAAAATAATGATAATATAAATAGGAGTAATGATAAAAATAAAAAAAAAAAAAAGCAAGTCGGGTCTCACGGGAGGAGGCTCCCGCCCTTACCGTACGTGTCCTTGTTGGGGAAGATGAAGGACACTTGAAAAAGCGCCGCATCTGTTGGAAAGGGGAGGGAAGGGGAGACGCGGGCGCTGGGTTTTCATGGCGCTTCCATCCCCCTGGCGCTGGGCGCGGGGGAAGGGGGGCTGTTACCGGCCATGGTTGCTACGCGGAAGTGTCGGCGGTTGCCAGGGAGCCCGGCGGCCCGGAAGGGGGAGCTGGGGCACTTCCGGGTCAGCCGGTGCGGTGTGAGGCGGCGGGAGGGCGAGGTAGGAGCGGGGCGGCCGGGAGGAAGGGGAGGAGGAGGAAGAGGAAGGGGAAGGAAAGGAGGAAGAAAGAGCGGCCGGGGGTTGCCCCCTACCACGGGGCTAACGCCACTGTTGTCTCGCTGTCACTTGTGGCCTTAAACGAAGGGAAAATGGGTGCGCCGGGAGGTGCCGTTTGAGAGGGGGTCCCCGCTTGTCGTGTGGGAAAGGAAATAGCGTGGGGGTGCCCTAAAGCACCGTGTCAACCCCGGGGCGTTCTCGTCTTCCTCAGCACGGGAATATGAGTGCAGCGGGGAAGAGAAGAGGAAGGCCCAATAGAGGAGGAGGAAGAGGACGAGGAGGAGGAGGAGATAAAAGAAGAGGAGGAGGCAGAGGAGGAGGCAGCAGCCGTTCAAACAAGTCCCAACTCGGTGGAAATAGGAAATGCTCAACAAAAATTTGGGATGATGGGGATGACTTTTGTCTCTTCGAGGAACCAAGGTAGGAATCCAGGTCTGTCCATTGATTCGAGCATATTGAGCAAAAGAGTTTGGGATATCTTGGACCAGCTTTTTGGGCATCTTGGAATGTGCAGAAGTGCAAAGGGGTGCATAAATCTTCAAACTAAAGCTACTTTTGCATGTTTGTTCTAATTAGTGATGTTAACTGTTTTGTAGCTATGGAAGAGTAAGTGGGTTTTTTGCCCTTTTTTTTTTTTTGAGATTTGAATATCTCTGTTAATTCTCTTGTCTAAAAAACCATTTCAGAACATCTTTGATCAGAAAGCACTAACAAAAACAGGATAATCATTTTTATGTGTTACAAAGCAGAAGTTGGACCGTGAAAAAAAGCAATTTTGATTTTTTTTTTAATTATCTTAAATGTCCTGTAGCCAATCAAGCTCAGAAATACTTGGTTGTACTGTAGTCTCAGCACACCTTTACCTAGAAGAGCAATTATTAACTCAGTGTGGACTTGCCATAGGATCAGATGCATATAAGGATGTACACAGACACTCAAGCATCCTCGTCTTGCAAAGGTTAACCCAACTAAATGTTCTTTAGATGACAGAAGAGCATTATTTTTTTTCATTTTGAAATAGAGGAGTTGGTCCTAAAGTTTTGCTTCATATATTTCACATATTATTTCAGCTGTCATTTCTGTCAAAGGCAATGCAAATAAAAGTTTTGTCTTATTTTGCTTTGTAGAGTTAGTGCCCCTGCCAGAAGAGGAGGGCAAGGAAGACAAAGAGCAGAAGCCAGAATGCCTCTGCAGACCATACACATGACATCGGAGAACCAGAGAAGAGTGAAAGAACTTCTTCGAGAGCTTCAAGGGCAGGAGCTGGCACCTGAATCAGAGTTAGTTTAAACAGAGGCATTATTTCCAGCTCTTCTAACTGCCTGCTCATCTAGAAATTAAACAGATTTTTTTCCCTTTAACTTTTAATTTGATCTCAAATCAACTTTTTTTTTGAGTCTTTTCTGTACAGTATTAACTTGGAGAAAGGGGCAATACAATTCTTCCTTTACATGAGTACATTTTTTTGTCCTATTGGCAATATAATTCTGTTTTATTTTAAAATTTAATAACTTTTTTGTTTTTAATCAGAGTAGCAGGTTCTGATGAAGATGATGATGAACCTGATTACCTTGATGATGAGCAATGCTGGTCTACAGATCAAGAAGTTTCTGACATAACTCCAAGGTCTTCTGCTGAACTGGCTGAACACAAAGTCGTGGAAAGTGAGGTGTCTCTGTTTGCTGTGCATAAACTGTCCAGGTGATGCTTTTCACAGTGTATGGTTTGTATCCTGAAGAGATAAATCACTCTAGGTTCAATATTGTGAGCCCTTGGTGCCTGGAATTCCTCCTGGCTCCAGGGAAGTGGCATGTGCAGAACTGTTAGTATTGTTAGTATTGTTAGTATCTCCTACGAATATAATCTTTAGCTAGATGAATTTAAAATACGGCTGTAACTTGAAATCTAATCCTGTTGCATTCAGAGGTGTCAGACAGTTGCCATGTAACATAATTTGTCACCCTCTAAACAACAGACTGACACAGAAAGCAAAACCTGCTGCCAGCTGTGGTCATTGAAAATAGCATGAACATTGGCATTCTTGCAGTAGATTAGTATGTCACGTTATACCCTTGTCCTTACTGTAAGCCTAATCAAACACATCTATGATTATTTTTCTTCTGGCAAGTCTCTGTGTCTCCCCTGTTGCCATGTTTGCTCTGTTTTGTTGCAGGTATGGTTTTGACAGGGAACGTTGCAGGACGGTGCTGAGATCCTGCAACGGGAATATCGGGGCGTCGCTGGAGTGTTTGTTGTCGCAGTGCTTTGCAGAAAGATTCGGGGAGAAGGTGCAGGTTTCTGCAGCAGCTGTTGAGGCCAGTCGAGAAGAATGTTTAGAACAGAGACAAGAAGAAGCTTTTGTGCTGCGGTCAATCTACGGAGAAAAATTTGTAGAAAGAATTCAAAACCGAGTTTGGACTTTTGGTTTGGAACTGGAGTACCTAACGAACAGCCTGGACAAATCTAAACAAAAGGATGGCTCTACTAGAGACTCAACAAAGCAGACTTCACAAGAAACATGTAGATTTTACATCCAAGGAAGCTGCAGGTTTGGTTCAAAATGCAGATTCAGGCATGAAGCTCCTCCACATCATCCAGCTAAGAGCTGTGCGGATGCTCATCTCAGACCTAACAGCGATGACTCTCCCATGTATGAACTTGAAATAAGATTTCCTGAGGACAATAAGTATCCGTTCCAGGCACCTCTTGTGGCATTTTATTCCACCAATGAGAATCTACCTCTTGCCTGTCGTTTGCACATTGCCGAATTCCTCTTTGGGAAAGCCTTGGCAGCTGCGGAGTCCAGCGAACCAGTGGTGTACACGTTAGTGACTTCCTTAGAAGATGAATCAGAAATATGCGAGATGCTTAAAAATACTCACCACAAGTACAGTGTTCCTCCTGTGTCCCTGCAGGCAGTGCCTTCAGGAAGACTGCTGACAGATAGTTCATCTGATTCAAATCAGGTGTCAGAAGGTACACCAAATTTTCCTCTAGCACTTCTGGCCAGAGAATAGTCAAGAGGTCAGAAGAAAGAGGAGGAAGAGAGCACAATTCATGCATCTGTTCCAAATCTATTTCTGTTGGTTGTGGTCCTGCAGCGAGCCAGATCCTTAATCTAACTGTGCCTTTCCTTACTAGTGTGACAGCAGAGAAGTTTTATGTTTGCAAGAGCTGTGTTAAAGGAGTGCAGTGTAACTGAGTTCTGGTTTGTGGAATGAGTGAGACCTGTTTCCACACAATTGCTGAAAACACCAAAATATTACACACCTGTGTTTGGAAGAGTTTGGGGAAGGCTGTCTCTAAGCTTTGGCCCTTCTGCTAATTGCTGGTTCTGAAACACTAAGAAACTTAAAAAAAAAAAAAAAAAAAAAAAAAGGCTTTGCCCTAAATTAATTTGTAAATGTTTTAAGCTGGTCTAGACTGTTTCCATTTCTCCTGGCATCATCTCCCTTTTGCGTGCGAGTGCAACCAAGCTGATTTCGCACTGAGAGAGTTGAGGCCTCCTGTTATTTATAGTAGGGTGACAGCAGCTGCGTGATATGGATGACCTCCTAGCTCTCACTCCCAGAATTCTCTTACCTAGGGCAAACTTCATTGAAGAAAGTTTGCAAGAATAAATGCATTACATTTTAGAGTCACCACCTAATGGTGACAGCCTAATTTTTTAATAGTCAAATAGCTGGTATTATTTTAAACATCTCCATAAAAAGAGAGCTTGGTTCAAGAAACTGAAACTGTATAGAGGTTTCAAGTAATTTTCTTTATGTTATGAAGTCTTCCTGTTTTGATAAATACAGCCTCAAAACTTTTGAGGGCTGTCTTGTTGTGTGAGTAAATCCCACTTAAACTGACAGGAAGTATTTCACAGTGGCTACAAAATGTTAAGGTGTACTTTAAATTCATTTAAACTGGCACTGCTGTCACAGTCTGGTGCTGCATTCAAGTGGTTGTCTGGTGGATTGGGTAGGGAAGTTAAAGCAGATGAAAAACACAATGCAGGACTTTTCTGTTTGGTTTTGTTTTCCAGTCAATGAGTTAATTAGTTTCTTTCATCTTGTGGCCACCCAAACGATGGTGCTGCAAAGCACAGAGCTGCTGCAAGGGTAGTAGTGAGCAGGGTGGATTTGGAGAAGTGGTGGCTCGTTTCACGGGGAGGTTTCCTGGTACTGTTGAGCTAAATGCATGTCAAAACCAGTCCTGTGTATCCCCAGCTCTAATCTAACAAGGTTCTCTATTGAGATGCTCCTGGACCATGCACCTTTCTGATTTTTATGCAGTGCTGAGGCTGGTCCTTTTCCTTGGTGATATGAGTTACTAACTGCATTCTCTGTCTTAAGTCTCTGTAGTGTCAGAGCCTCAGAAGGAAGAGGAGGTGGCAGAGGAGGAGGAGGAGGAAGATGAGCCTGAACAAGTTATTGTGGAGAATGAGAGTTATGTAAATCTCAGAAAAAAGCTTTCCAGGAAGTATGATACACAGGCAAAGTCTCTGCATAATGAAAATGTTAAAATCTGCAAGCAATTTCGGCTGAAAAAGGTATGGTGTACAGAAAAGAGTGAGTGTTTTCACGCTTGTCTTAGAGAAGAATCTATTTAAACAGCAGACTGTCAAAACAGCTCCGTTCCACTCCAGTTGTGTTCTTCTGCTAAGCTGCTTGTCTTCTAGTAGTTCAGCAAACAATGCTTCTGCCATCTGCAAATTGCTTTACACTTCCTCCTGGTAAAGAATGAAATATGCAATGCAAGATCTTTTGGAAGAATTGTAGGCTATTGTTTATTTATTTATTTATTAGTTTGTTGCAAGCTAAATGCATCTCGTGCTAGGTGCAGAACGCCCCAGCTCATGGGACAAGTGTCCTCACTGTTTCTGAGCAACCTGAAGGGAATCCTGGTCTCTTGCAAAGCTGAGTTTTATCTTTGTTGGAGTGTTAGAAGCAAAATTAAATGCAGTTTTTATCAAGAAACTTTCATCTGAGTATCACATTAAGTATTTTAGTAGGTGATTGCTCAGACTACTACTGTATGAAGGTATATCAAATACTTTTGAGAATAACAGCAGCTGTAATTCTGCAGCTGGATGTATTAGAGATGCAATAGGCATTTTGAAGAGATCTTGTGACTCTTGGATGAGTTCAGACTGAAAATAAATGTCAGATTTTACCAGAAAATTAAATACAGGAGTGATATATTAGCAGAATGTGGCCAAAGACTGAAATTGCCTTGAAGTTCAGCTGTCTTTGTAGACAGTATCCTTATGCGGTGCTTTAAAGACACAGCTGATGCAAGAAAATCATTCTCTAGGTTATTTTATGCAGGAATTTAGAAGATTAGAAAGAACCTTTCACAACATCTAAAATTGATGAACTTAGGGCAGGCCTAACCGCAGCTGCTGACTTTTTCATAATTATTTTTGTGTGTCAGTCTTCCAGGCACTTCCAGTCCATGTTGCAGGAAAGACAGAAGCTCCCTGCGTGGCAAGAAAGGGAAACCATTCTTGATTTGCTGAAGAGCCACCAAGTTCTTGTTGTGAGTGGCATGACAGGGTAAGAGGGTAATTTGCCATGTAGAATTTATACATCAAGCTATACATAGAAAAATGTGAAACGTAACCAAGTCCTGATGAGTTTCGGGTCATGGTCTATTTATGGCCAGTGGACAGCAATCCTGGACAAATTCTTATGCAGTGTGGCACTAATGAAACAAATTTCAAGTGGGATCAAGTTATCTTAATTTTCATGGATAGAAATATGTTGGTTTTTGTTTGTTTTTACTGATTCCTGTTTTTTTCTCATGCAGATGTGGGAAAACCACTCAGATTCCTCAGTTTATTTTGGATGCTTCATTGCAAGGCTCTCCAGACAGAGTTGCAAACATCATCTGCACTCAGCCTCGCAGGATTTCTGCCATTTCTGTGGCTGAACGTGTAGCCAAAGAAAGAACAGAAAGGATTGGGATCACTGTTGGATATCAAATACGACTAGAAAGTGTAAAGGTGTGTGTGTGTTTGTTTTTTTTTTTTTCATTTAGTTTAGTTTAGGGCATGTCTTGCAGTCAGAATCTGTTCTATATCCACTGGGTTTTGAGATCAGCAAGTGCATATTGCGCCTCTATTTTATCTCCTCCCAACTTGCACAGTCTTCTTCACAGCATGAGAGTGCAGTAATGTTTTGTGCAGTTATTTCCCTTTCTGCTCAGACAGTGATTGGAAGGTCTGAGGATGTTGGTAACGCTTCTGTCCTCTGGAAGTTTTCATGAGGTATTTCCATTTGTTTCACATTCCATTTGTTTCCACTTGGAGACTGAACTGTTTAACTTCAGTCAGCCAGAGGAGGAGGGGGTTGAATTTAAACTGCTGTGCTGGAAATAAAGTTCAGTCTGTATTCCAGCTGATTGCTTTTTTCCAAGAAATGTGTTCCAAAAAAGAGGTTCACTTAATCATTCCTGGGACAGAGAACTGAATTAACACAGCCACTTCCTTAGAAAAAAGAAACCTTAATTTGGATTTTTTGTTCATCCCTTATTGTTATGCCCCATGGTAAGGAACAGATGCTTAGTTTTAATCAAGATTATTATGATAATAAAATATCTTCAGCATTGTCTCCAGAAAGAATTGTTCCCCTTCTGTTAAACCTGGAACTCACTTGGAAATGTATGTTTACAGCAAAACATACTCTGCACTAGGTTAAATTGCACAATGTCCAGCCAAATACATTGTACTTTTGTCTTGTTAACTTTATGTATGAATATATATCATAGGGTGATGTTATTGTACTAGTAATGTATTAACACTCAACATATTCAAGTCCTCAGCTACCAGACTGTTGTATTGTACTACTGGTGTGCTGCTGAGAAGGCTGGAAGGAGATCTGGCTTTGCAGGGAGTCACACATGTTATTGTGGATGAAGTTCATGAAAGAACAGAAGAAAGGTAAATAATCCTTTATCCCAACAGCAAAATGAAGAGGTGCAGTCAGCAACATCGAGGTGACTAAGATGCAAATAACCTAAGTCAAACTTGATGATTCTGTGGCAGAAATCTGTGTGTGTGATGATGGAAGGAGTCAGGCCTTAGGTTCCTGTCTCTGGACAATAGGGAGCTGTGTTGCAGCAGTTTGCAAAGAAAGCACATCTCTGAAATATTCTGTGCTCCCTTTGTTGCAGTTGCATTGAAAAGGGATTTAAAATGAGGCATCTGGGTTAAGAAATAACTTTTTAACCACAATTACTTGTGGTCCTGATAACTTTATTCCTTCCCTTTTCAGTTCTCATCAAATACCTTAATTCTTCATGTAACCTTTTGGGAACTCTTTATCCTGACACGTATTTCAGGAGAGCACCTACAAAGCATAAGTGCTCACTTTATTTTTCCAGTCTAGATTTTACCATTCCTGCACATTTCTCATACTGTCCTGCCACGCTCACCTGTTGATGCCAAGCAAAAAACACTGTGCATTGCTATATCTATAAAATGAGTGATACCAGAAGCCCTTTTCTTGGATGTTTTCCTTGTGGAACACTAAAATACAGTGAATTTTGAGGAGGTTTTGACTGTGGTCTGTTATTCTACAGCTTGGATTATATTTGGACCTTATAAAAGGGCTTGTGTGTCTTGAGGTTTTAAGCAAGTCTTCTAGGCATGACACAAAACTTAATATGTGGGAGAAATACAGTGAATGAGGAAGAATAGGTAAATTTGAATGACTCCTTCCAGGATGGAAGAAGCAAAAGGGTTTCATCTGTTGCTTTGAGTTAATTTGTTGTCTACTGCTCTTATGTTGTCTTTAATATTAGGGTAGCTAATTTATAGGATAGCTGGAGCTTTTTGTTGCTTATATAAAACTGCCACCTAATCCTGACCCTCGAATAGGAGACAGCCCAAAATTAAGTGGATTGGTACCCATTTATTTACTGCATTATTAGCTGCCAGCCATTATGCAGAACTCGTACTTTGTAATGGTATAGCTGTGATATTGGGAAAAGTGCAGAGCATGGGGAGAAGGAAGAGGTTCTGAAAGTCTTTGCTTGTTTTCCTCAGTGACTTCCTGCTGCTGGTTTTGAAGGATGTCATGTTGCAGAGACCAGACCTGCGCATTATACTCATGAGTGCTACCTTGAACGCGGAGCTTTTTTCACAATACTTTCAATCCTGTCCAATTATTAACATACCAGGTGAAGAAAAAGTCATTTTCGTTATCTGTTCCATTCATTTTTTTAGAGGTTTGGTTTTAGTTTTACTGCTTGTGAAGTTTTTCTCCCTTCCTGTGTAGGTTACAGTGGTAAATGAGGAATAGATCTCAAGGGCTAATTGACAGAGAGGCAAGATGAGGATTTATACAAGAGCTATGATTCCAGGTAGAAAGTAGTCTTACTTAGAATGTAAAACTAATCAGCTTCCTTGGAAAGGAGATACAGAAATGGAGCCTTTTTTTTTTTTGGATGTTCTGTCTATATCAGCAGAATTTTCTTCCCCAAAAGCCCAAATGGAAAGAAATATATGGCACAATTTCATGGCAACCAAAAACTCCTGCATCCTTGTGAACAAGGAGCAGTGAGAGGATCCAGTTGCATGCATATATAATTAGGCAAATGTGTCTTTTAATTTGTTCTGGTATTACAGAGAGCATCAACAAAGCACTTATGCTGAATGGTGTGTTCCCAAGAGCACATCAGCCCTACTCTGCAGGGAGTGCAGGAAAATGGTTCTAGGAAAACAACCTCTGCTTTCCTGGACAGAAGTTATGTGGAAGACTGCAGTATTTATCTGAGTCACGTGTTCCCATTTAGGTCACAGAGATGAGTTAGAATTAAAAGTTGAGGAACCACAGTAAGGAATAATACCACCCCTTGTCTTACACCACTTCCTGCACGTTGTGTGGCATGTCCATTTGTTATTCCCTTGTTCCTCTCCAGGCCGAACGTTTCCTGTGGATCAGTATTTCCTGGAAGATGTGATTGCAATGACAAGGTATGAAAGATGCATTTATGCTCAGATGTGTTTAGTGTTTGAAGTTGCACAGCTGACTTCGAGACTGCACTTGTTCTGTGTGTGAATTCAAAAGTGAAATCCTCTCAAATTCCACCACCCCCACCCCAGCCTCGCAGTCTTAGAGTTCTCTTAAAGCACTGAATCTGAAGCATGCTGCAGTGAGGTCTAGGGTCCCAGCTCCAAACAAGCCTTTCTGCATTAGATAACTGCATAATTTCTTAAGAAAAGGCAACCTTTGCCATAAAGGGTTTGTTGGTGCCCGTGTGTTAACAAACTTCCCTCCTCAGCACTTGTTTCAGTGTTGGTTAGACATCAGGAAGCCAAAGAAATGTGAAGACAGATTGCAGCATGGAAGGGGGAGAATGCAGAATACCAAAAATTTGCTTTTGTGTAAGCCCTACCTTCCAGTAAAAAGTGAGATAAAGATCCCTGTAATCAATGATAGCTACTGGAGAGCCAGAGCAGATATTCCAGATAGTGAACTGATCAACCTCTGTAAATTGCTTAGACGGTGACTCTCGACTGTCCATTGAACCATTAGGATCAAGCTGGCACTGCTGGTCCTTCTCACCCCAACTTTTAAAAGACTGATGTCCCAGCAGGGCAGACATCTCTCCCTCCACCAGAGTTGGCTCTAAATTTCAGCACCTGTGGTTTTCTTTTGGTGAGATAGAGTTGTGCTGTGGGTGACGAGACTTGAGCCTCAAACTATCCCAAAACTTCCCCAGGGTTAGAGCTGCCCGTGGGAGTGAAGAACCTGCTTTGTCCTAATTTTCCCCCTGTAAAAATGAGTTCATTTCAGAAATACTGCTTTGTCTGTCTTGGAGTGGAGGGGTAGAGCAACGGCATGAAGTGAAATAATAAGAACAAAGTAAAATTCACAATCTCTTTACTCTCTGTGGTCTTGCAAGCCTCATGATGTAAGTGTAAGAGGTATTTAGCATAAATGCTTTTGATGTGGCATCTCTTTAACTCATTATTAGGAAGAGAGCAGTATCTTTCACACCACTGAATGCCCCCCTTGCCTTCAGGTATGTCTTAGAGGACAGCAGTCCCTATAGGCGCAAGACAAAGCAAGAAAACAAACAGACTGAAAGACATAAAAGAACTGCATTTGAGGAAGTAGAGGAGGATCTGCGACGTGCTGGCATCCTGGGAGAGGCTGATACAGCCATCAGGGATTCAGACCCAGACCAAAAATTAACCCTAAAGCAGCTCCTGGCAAGATACAAAGGTGAGTCCATTCTTAAATCTAGTAAACTGGCCATATTACATCTGCCAGTCAGCATGGTGTGGTAGCATATCACAGTGTGTATTTAATGCATATACATCATTCAGAGTTTTATGGTTGTTAGGTTAGCCAGGTCGCTACTTTCTAGATGAGATCAGAAACCTGCCAAATTCAAAAGAAAAAAGGGAAAAAAAAGTAATGAAGTAATTCAGTTCTCTTAAACTGCAACAAGTATTTTGTCTGCAAACAGTTTTTAGCATCTGAGGAGGGACGGGTCTCAGTTTTTATCTATTTCCATCCTGTTTCAGATGCCTTGTCAGAGCAGCTTCGAATAAAGCACTATGCCCATCTGGCCACGTCAGGGAGGTCTTTTCAGCATCACAAGCTTTTCAATGAGAAATTTGGTCATTTTGTGAGCAGTTTAATAAAATAGGCAGACTTTTCCATTAACTACCTGCTCTGTCAACATCAGAGTCCTCCCTGGGGACTTTGGGACTCTCCCACCCAGGAGAGTTCTGTCCTGCACATCCTCATGGTAAGCTCTTGACTTGGAGAAATTTGCTTTGCTAAAAAGCAAGTTTTGTTGCAGGGAGCTACTTTTGGGACTGTTTGAACCAAGATGTGGTTGACTGAGTAGCCAGACTGTGGCTCAGTGTATCCAGCACAAACTTTTCTACAGGAGATGGATTTACTGCTTATTTGATTTATTTTGTCCCCAGGAGTTAACAAGACAGTGCTGAAAACAATGTCTGTCATGGACTTGGATAAAGTTAATCTGGAGTTAATTGAAGCCTTGCTGGAGTGGATACTCACAGGCAGACATTCATACCCCCCAGGTAACTTCACTGGCTCTGAAACATAAGCAGAAGTAGATTCGTGGAGGTGTGGGCTTGAGCAAATACCACCAAGTTAAAGTTCTGAGTGCTAGATTTCCATAGATAACTGAGTATTACTGAAAAAAATATGGTTCTGTCTGAATGACAGAGTCTCTGGCTTGCATGAGATGAGGAAGAAAAGAGAATTATTTACCTCTCTGGAAAGTATTTGGTGAGGAACTGTTACAGCCTGTTACAGTTCTTTTGTGCAGACAGGGGCCTTCTGCACATGAATCAAATATCATGCTAGGTATTATATATTTTTCTACTCAGTGTTTTTTTTAAAAAAAACTTTTTTTTTTATCCCTATTGTCTAGGTGCTGTGTTGGTATTTTTGCCTGGACTAGCAGAAATCAAGATGCTTTATGAGCAGCTCCAGTCTAACGCTCTTTTCAATAATAGGCACAGCAATAGGTAAGGCAGAAAATCTTCAAAACAGTCTTTACCCTGAAGTCTTTACCCTAAATTAAGAGTAGTTTTCTGCACATGGTCTATTTTCATTTAGGGACAAATTAAGATGTATGAGACAGCTTTTGCAAGGAAGATCTTAACTTCAGGGTAAATCTTGTTCTTTTACTATATTATTGAATTGCTTTGTATATTTTTTCTCAGCCTAGAATGGTGAACAGTGTCAAAAGTTGTGACTAATTTAGTTGAAGTTTTCAAAAACGCCACTATTCCCCACTGTGTGCTGTGCATGATCCAGTGGACTGTGGAAAACTTCACCTCAGCCCTTGCTATTCCAGAAGCTCTGCAGAGAGATGTTTAGTGGTTGTTGTAGTGTTTACATTCAGCAAAATTCAGATTGTTACACAGAGCCATAAATGTATCTCCTTAACTAAACATTACTTACATGCCCTTGGCATGGTTGGCTGGAGTGATTCCTTCCAGCTTGTCATAAGTTGAATCCTCTGGATTCTTCTTCAGATACATCCTGATTCTGAGCCACGTCCCTTCCATAAACTTCCCCAAGAACACGTCTTACACCAAATAGAGTACAAAGGTTTGCTGGTTTTGAATTCCTTTGAATATGCAGTGTCTAGTACTTCTTGGGCATAGGTGCATGCAGACAGACTTGCAGGAGGGAGCAGGCTGGTGATGCTCAGCACACTGTCTTATTTCCCCTCCAGGTGTGTGGTTTTTCCACTTCATTCCTCACTGTCCAGTGAAGAACAGCAGTCTGTGTTCCTCAAGCCTCCTGCAGGAGTTACCAAGATCATCATCTCTACAAACATTGCAGAAACATCCGTCACCATTGATGATGTGGTTTATGTGATTGACTCTGGCAAAATGAAAGAGAAAAGGTACTGGTATTCTCCGGGGCTCTTTTAGTTTGGGAACGACTCTGATTTGAGCTGCAAAATCCCATTTTCCAAAGAGCTGGGAAAAGCTACTGTGAAGTGGGGGAAGCCTGCCTGGACCAGCTCCCAAAACCCGTGAGGGGTAGGAGTTGTGTCCAGTTGTGGCAGCATCTGTCTGCTTGGTCTGCAGTGTGTTCACTGCCCTGGTGGACACGAGGCTGTTCTTGCTTCCTTGCAGATACGACCCAAGGAAAGGAATGGAAAGTTTGGAAGACACGTTCGTGTCCAGGGCCAATGCTTTGCAAAGGAAAGGGCGAGCAGGCCGCGTGGCTTCGGGCGTCTGCTTTCATCTTTTCAGTAGCCATCACTATAACCACCTCCTCATAAAAGAGCAGTTACCAGAAATACAGAGGGTGCCCCTGGAGCAGCTGTGTCTGAGGTGAGCTGCCATGCATCTTTTGCCTTAAAAGAGTGTGCAGAATGGCCTCTCTCTAGCACGGGGAGTAATCTGCACTGCCTTTACCAAGACTTTGCCTTTCCTTGTGGGTTTTCTAACATCATGAAACCCCCACACTTGATCCTGTGTCTTACGGGTGCTTTGATCTTGCTATCAACTTGCCACTATGTCCAGTACCCCTTCTAATGGGACCCACAAATTGGATCAAGCACCTCCATCATGTCAAGGTTAGAGAAAAGAGGTCTTCTATCCCTGCCTCACTCTGTGGACTCCTTCATGCAAAAAAGGAATTTAAAAAAACAGCAACACAATTTATTATGGTAAAGATGTCAGTAAAAACTCATTGTGCTAAATGGGAATCTGTTTTTATTGACTTTGTGAGGTTGCATGAGGTAAAAACCCCCTCTGCTTGTTTCACATTGCTTCGTGGCCTGAATTATGCCTTACAGGCCCCCTTAGCATGTTCTTAGGATCGGACTTTCTGGCTTTTCGATGAAAGTTTGTTGTTTTGACCAGTGTATTGAACTTTATTTTTTTCGCCCCCTCAAGAATTAAGATTCTGGAGATGTTTTCTGCACAGAGCCTTCATTCTGTCCTGTCGCGATTAATCGAGCCCCCAAGAGCCGAGTCTTTGCAGGCGTCAAAGCTGAGGTTAAAGGACCTGGGAGCGCTGACGTCGGACGAGAAGCTCACGCCCTTGGGCTATCACTTGGCTTCCCTGCCCGTCGATGTCAGGATTGGGAAGCTCATGCTGTTTGGCACCATATTCCGCTGCCTGGATCCCGCGCTGACCATCGCAGCCAGCCTGGCCTTCAAGTCGCCCTTCGTGAGTATCCCGACCCGCTCCGCGCTGCGGGAACGCCGTGGTGCCCTTCAGCAGGGAACGCTGCCCTCGTGTGCAGCCTGCCAGCCCTGCTGGGCTCCTCCTTCTTAGCCTGGAGCGTTCACGTGTGTCTGCAGCCCTTGGGAAGGGCGCGGGGTAGAAATGTCTGGTTATAAACAGATACCCAAAACCAGGCCAACATTGATAACAATGTTAATTATATTATGGGCGAATGGTAGGGATGATGTGGATTTTTTTTGTTCTAACTTAGCTTGTCCAAGTTTGAGATCAGAATTTCTAATCGCTATTTTTCATCTTTTGTCCCCTTTTTGACCTTTTGGTGTTATTCCAGAGGCAATTAGGAATAATTGTGGGCCTGTGATAATTATGAAGATGACACATGAATACACAGTTTGGTTTTGATCTCGGTTTGTGTGTTCACTTTCACTTTGGCTTTTTGGATCATCTGCAATAGTTAGTGGTGCTTCCATTTTTGTGCAACTTCTGTGCCAATATATGGAAAACTAGACCTTCTTGCCAGCAAAATTTTGATTGCTACAGTTAGTTTACATTGGGGATAGTTGCAAAGGAGCTGCAAGTAGACCGTTGTGGTTATTCAGCTGCATTTTTTTTTACCTCATGTACCTGTTGGGCATTTTCTGCAGCCTTGTAACTTTAAGAGTTCTAAGTCACTATGTGGTGATACCGAGTAGCTTGATTTTAGCCTGGCTTCTTTGCTGTCCTGAGTTGCTGTCGCTTTCTCCCTCTCAGACCCACATCAGTTTTTGGACTTGGCCTGCTCTTCTCCATTCTGTGCCTTCTTTGTTGAGCTTATTGACTTGTTAAGCTGTCTGAATGCTGTTTTTCACAGATCTTGACCTTGGGCAGCTGTAGAGAGGCCTGCCCTAAAGGAGCTATTTTCTCTGAGCTTACAGATTTAGCTCTGGGGTTTGCTGCTGCCTAGGTATTTTGGGGGGCTGCCTTCCTCTGAGCTGCTGACCCACTACCAGAGACCCTGGGATGTGTTGGGATGGGTTGCCTGAGGTGGGAGGAAAGAGCCTTAATCTCTTGCTGCCTCTCTAGGTGTCACCATGGGATAAAAGGGAAGAAGCAAACAAAAAGAAGCTGGAGTTTGCAGTAGGAAAAAGTGACTATCTGGCTCTTCTTCAGGCCTATAAGGTGAGCTAAAAATCAGCCTCTCAGAGGTTTGTGCTGAAATCTGAGTTGTTATATTTTATGAAAGGCTTTGGCTTTTTGTTTGTTTGCTTGATTGTTTTTCCTTTCTTATTAATTAGGGATGGTGTTTAAGTACCAAAGAGGGCTCTCAGGCGAGCTACACCTACTGCAGGGAAAACTTTTTATCAGGAAGAGTTCTTCAAGTAAGTCATTCCTTTTGTGGCCTTGCACAGGGCTGGGTTGAGATACCAAGGCAGAGTCCTCGTGTCTAAAATGAGCAACCTGTGAAGACTCTTCTCTCTCGGTTTGGCACCTCTGGCAGCTCTTTGTCTGTTTGTAGGAAATTGCGAGCCTGAAAAGGCAGTTCACAGAACTGCTTTCTGATATTGGGTTTGTGAAGGAAGGGTTAAGAGCCAGGGACATGGAGAAGAAGTGCTGCCAAGGCGGAGATGGTGTGTTGGATGCCACAGGAGAAGAGGTAATTTGCTACATTTTGGTGCTCTGAACAGATGTTGCAGCTTTTGACTTTAGTGTTCGCTGCTTTCTCTAGCCTGGTGGGCTTCCAACCACAGCCTGCCCTTGCTGTCTCACATTGGGACCTCCTGCTTGGTTTGTTTTTCTGCCCTGGACTTTGTAATGCGGCTTGAGAGACTTGAGGCTGAGGCTCCCGTGCCCTTGATTCCACAGAGCAGGAGATGCAGTTTCCACTTTATGCCTTTACTGTAGCCATGCACTCATGCCCTGTGCTGAATCTTGGTATTTGTGTGGACCTTGTTTTGGGAACAGAGCTGCATTATAGAACAAGGATCCTCAGAAAGTAGCACCTACAGAGTCCCAGGTCTCACAGTGCTGCACGGTGGGGTGATACGGGTTTGGCAGTTGCAGAGACCCTCTGTGCAGACGTGGGACATGCTCTGTGCTTTGGTTTGGTTTTGGGTTTGTTTTTCTTGAGGGGCATGCTGCTTTGGACCAAACACTAGTAAGCCACTAAGTTAGGCAGCAACGTAATTGGTGGCCAGTTTGCTCCAGCCTGAAAGCTAAAATGGAAAGTGGTGTTCAGCCATGAAGTCAGTTCAGAAACAGAGCTTTGCCTTTTAGCTTACCTCTAGAGATATAATATGTGCATTGATTTCACAGGCAAATTCGAATGCAGAGAACATCAAGCTGATCTCAGCTATGTTGTGTGCTGCGCTGTATCCCAATGTTGTCCAGGTAAAAATGCTTTCTCATTGTTTCTCTTCCCTTGCATAACACATTCACACCTTTGACTTTGAATCTGGTCTGATTGTGGCAGATTTTTTTTTCCCTTTTAGATCCTGACCTGGGTTTTTCTTCTTTGACCTGGCAAGGCTTTCTGCTTACAGTGTTAGGACTGGGCAGCTGAACTCATGTGCTTGCTATGATTTTGCTGTCATTCCTACGTGTTTGCTTTTAGTGCCACACAGAGGACAACAACAAACAGAACAAAAAAATTAAGTGTCAAAAAAGGTGAATTCAGCTTTCTAGTACAGTGAATTCATAATTGCATTTATCTTATTATATAGGTGAAAATGCCAGAGGGCAAATACCAGAAGACTAGTGCAGGAGCAGTTAAAATGCAACCAAAAGCAGAAGAGGTGAAGTTTGTTACCAAAAATGATGGTTATGTTCACATTCACCCTTCCTCTGTGAATTATCAGGTCAGTATTTTTTTTTTCTGCAAAGCCCACTGTCTTTTGTAACAGGAATTACCTTTGCTTAAGCAGTGGGATTACAGTGAGAGTCCCTGCTGATGTTCAATCAAGAAGGCGTTTTATTTACTTATTTAACAGTCCTTCTGTCCGGATTGTAAGGAAGGGTGAGTATGTGTGTGTGAGAAGTCCAGGTTATGGAACAGAACTAGAGGCAGTAACCTCCCAGTGTGTGTTTCTTAGAGCAGCTGCTGCAATCTTACACACAAAAATAGTGCAGTTAGTTAAAATATTCCCCAGCCTTTCCACGACACTGACCGAGATGGCTTGCAGGGAGGTAGCCTTCCTGGATCCCCTTCATGTAGTGGGGAGCAGATGTCTTGAGGCCCACGACACTGGTCACCTCAGATGAAATACTACTGGCTGGTAAATAAGGCATGCCTAGTCATGGCTTTGTTTCTTCATGTGACCTCAATAGAGTTCATTTCCTTTTAGCTTCATAGCTGGTTTTTAGATGTCAGGCCTTCTCTTCCTACCATGATACACACTCACACTTGTCTAGTGGAAGCTGTCTCCATAATAGTGTTCCAGGATGTCTGTTACTTGCTTCAAAACAAACAAAAAAAAAACCCCACCCAACCATTATTAACTCTAGCCCCTTGGTCTGTTCACTCTTACACTCATTCTTGTGCTCTTTTAGAATAACAAGCCCAGCTGCACATGGCAAATCTCTATAGCATGAAATAGAGACCTGGGGCCCTGGAGACTTCCTTAAGGTAGCCCCTCTCTCCCATGCTTACTGCACGGGAGGAAGGAGCAGGGGTAACTGGCAGAGAGGATGGGGTGAAGGGAGGCTGTTAGGCAGGCGAGTGTGTTTGAGAATAGAAATGCACCCCTAGAGGAGGTGGCAGGGGGGGGCCACGTGTGCCTGAGCGAGGCCATGGGGTTCTTTGCAGGGGCGGTGGTTCCACATACTTTGTAGCTAACTGCAGCCCTCTGGGATCTGCTCTTCCAGACGAGGCACTTTGAGAGCCCTTACCTGGTGTACCACGAGAAGATCAAGACCAGCCGCGTGTTCATTCGAGACTGCAGCATGGTGTCAGTGTACCCCCTGGTCCTCCTCGGAGGCGGGCAGGTTCACACACAGCTGCAGAAGGGAGAATTTGTCATTTCCCTTGACGATGGCTGGATACGATTTGCGGCTGCCTCACACCAGGTAATGAAGTGATAACCTGGGAGTGGTTCACGTCTGCACTTGCGTTCGGGAGGCAGGAGGTGAGAATCTTTTCTGTCTTTCTCATGTCCATTAGGTGGCTGAGCTGGTGAAGGAGCTACGTTGTGAACTAGACCAGCTGCTGCAGGACAAAATCAAGAATCCCAGCATGGACTTATGCATGTGTCCCCGTGGATCACGGATCATTGGCATGATTGTAAAACTTGTGACCACACAGTAACATGAGAGCACCTTCCTTTGAGGATGCTGTTCGCTACTGCCCAAGAACAGACCAAGTAACATGAGTGTCTTTGTATAATCACTATTTGATGCTGATCTCTGGAACTCCAAGTTGGCAACTGTTCTATTTTTTTTTTTAATTTAAATCTTTTGACTATTTGCAGAGCTTACTGTTTGAAAAGAAGGTATCTTACAGC